TTTGTACCTGAAATTATGGCCAAACCATAACGTGGTACACATACTACGTTCCGGTGCCCGCCATCTTGGTTCACGTCCTTCGGGAATACCCAAATTTGTAGCCTTTCTGGCTAACATAGTATGTCCAGGGCTGGATTAACAATTCATTAAGCATAACAAGCACGTAGGTACCAAGAGAAAGGGGGCACCACAGATATTTCCCAAGACAAATTTTCAATAATGCCTCAGTGTTTAAGGAAATGATTGGAGTTGGTCAGACGATTCATACCTCAATATTGGCCCAGTCGAAATAAACAGTATAATCTTTCAACCCTCTCCATAAATGTTTGTATGCATTAGAACTATTTCAAAAAACATCATGTTAATTAATCATAACTTGGCCTTCAGTCAGTAAGTAGCCTACTAAATATTGAAACTCATATATTCCATTTTAGATAACACTAGTTTAATAATTCTTTTACATAAAGGGCACCCAAGTCTTGCGTGCTTAGGACCTGAAAATGACACGATCCGATCCCGGGTATGTTGAATATTCTGTGGAACGATGACAGGACGTGGGGGCATGTTTTGAAATATGATCAAGATATGCTTCCATTCCTTCTGGGAGAACCATACCTAAATGGGTGGAATTGCATGTACTAGAATATCTGTAAGTGACTATAATTGCAAATTACTGGTGACGGCTGGATGAATTCTAACTGTGAGATTACAGCGCTGATTCACAGGACTGGACTAAGATCAGACTTAAGTGGGATATTACCGATAACAGTATAACGGACAACAGACAGACAAAACTATGCTGAAGGGGGTATACATGCAGAAAAATTTTAAATCTTAAAGGAAAGTTAAACACATTAATATTAGTCGTTCAAATGCATTCGGTTCCGAGGAAACTATATTGTTTATTCCGCTAAAGTGTTTTCACGAGTGCAATGCAATGAAAAGTCATCTTAAGAAACAGTTAGAAATACATGTCCTTAAATTTACTTTCTGTGGAAGGTATTTTTTGAGCGAAAAACTACTGGAAAAGCATCAAAAAATTCAGTTACAAACAGAAAACAGAAAGAAAGCATTCAAATCATGCTTATATGGACAAATTAAACATTGCAAAGTTGAAAGACTTCATGCAATGCATCCTACAACTTCGATATTTCCATCAAATTGCAATCTTAGTCGAGTTTTTCATACCAGCCCTGTAGTATGTGACATTTAGATATGATGATTGTTATGAATATAAAATTTACCAATTTTGGTGCTGCAAAAATTAGCTGCATTATAATTTCCCTGCCTGATTCAGGTTCTTCTATGTCAGCTATTTTTATGCTTTATCTGAACTGTTATCTGATGACAGGGAATGTAGGAAATCTTATTGATTTAGTGTTTTTCAATCAAAGTGCGCCACTTGAATGATTAATATCCCCAGCACATTCCTGGAGACACTGAAGTCGCATTCTAGTATGCTAGTAATTCCTCATTCTATTTATTATAAATATATAAAGCTCTGTAATAGGTATCATATTTAGAAATAGAAGACCGGTTATAACATTTTGCACTTTGTTTTCATTTTCCACTGTTAGTCTTTTTCTTTACCATATGCTGTTGGTTTTCGAGTTTCTTTTCATTATACCTGCACTGTTGGTGGTTTGGCACTATTTCTTTTACAAAGAATTTTGTCTGAAAGAGAGATAGATATTGAATAACTTTTTACGAGCTGTTTTTGTCAGTCGCTCTTAACGAGGCTTTGCAGGAGTAGAATTATGTGAAGAGCATAATCAAGTCTTTGCTGACGCATTTCCTGCCGCGTAAATAACAATATCATGGTATATTGCACGGAATACTGTACTGTCTACTGAAATGACTTTTCTAAATTTCCGAGTTAAAAATTTGGGTACTCCTGAAGTATGCGCATCAAGATGTCGCATAACCTGAACCTTAACCTGGTACACAACCTGAGTTCAGGTTGTGCGCCATCTTGGTGCGCATACTTCAGGAGGTCCAAAATTTGTTATGAACTATATTTGAAGAAAAATTATCCGTCGAAAAAGTGAGCTGTTTTCACAAATGGCCTGCGGCGACTGTTGCATGTAAATTTCCGGATTCCTTCCGATTTACCCCTCCTTTTGCTTATTCTGGCTGCGCCTATGGACGTATTTCAACCTACGCTTTGATTGCACCTCCCCTGGCCATTAAAAACACCACCGACCGCCTTCTCTCAAAATACCGAAATATAAAATGATCCGTTTACGGTTTTGGTGTGCGGGCTAGGAATGAAGAATGCGCCTGAAATTTAAATTCTCAAATAATTCCGAACCCGAACCGCAATTGCATAATTACTAATTTTTCAGAGCGTGATATTTTTCTCACATTCCACATTATTGCATTGGTGGCGGGAGCTTTGTATAAAAGATTCGTATTTCGCAAACCTTCGAATATATAAATTATAAACAGATCAATCCTGTGGCGATTAACCGATTTTTATTATGTAGACATTTTTCAAAATTTTCCATTGTTTTGATCATTGAGCTGAAGTTATAAACCTTCTATACCTCGTGTATCGTGCGCGAAAACATTACATTTTTACAAAGTAAGATTACCCGCACTCCCTATGCGTTCGTTGACAAGACAACGTAATTATGCCAACGGCAAACGACAATAGTCATTTTGATCCATTGTAAAAGGTATAGATAATCCAACAAAAATAAATATATTGGAAATAATGTTGCCATTAGTATAAATAATACTGGCGTTTTCTATGTACAGTTCCTAAAGGTTTATGACTTCAAGCAAAACATACACTGAATTGCCTGAATGCTTCGCGGGTCGCAAATTCGTCACCTCCGTTTTAGGTAATTAAATCGTAGGTATTCCTTATTTCCAGCTAAAAACACACTAGCATTGCCGCACTTTTTATCTTCGACCCTTAGATGTTGTGCACACCTAACCCAGAACCTTGGGGTAAATAATATAAAACAAATCTACAATTTAAATTATTTTAAGCGTCGCTGGTTGAATAATAGATTGAAATAATTAGCGGTCAATCAAATTTAAAAAAGACGAAACTTCGCCACCATTTTGACCATGCTATAGGTTACGGTTACGCAATAGACTACCATACATGTGCGAAGAAAACGTTTAATTAAATTAAATGTTTAATTAAACGATAAAATTATAATCTCGATGGGTGGGAGTGCAAAGAAACGAGTTATGAACGTCGTGTGGATAAATGTTTAGATTTTTCTGGTGTACGAGTGGTTTTGGTAAAGGAACTGAATATTTCGGGGAAACAAAATAAATTGAAATTTCATTGATGCCGAGTTTTATAAGAAACTCCGGTGGAATAGTCGTTGCTAAGTTCGTCATAGTTGAACGATTTTTATTTGGCCCAAACCTATATTTCAGGAAGTTTTCAAAGACCAAGTGATTTGTTAAATTCAAACAGATTTTGGTTATTGTGAGCTGTTTATCGGAATTTCTCACGTAATTCAGAATCTAGACGAGAATTTGGGACGATGTTTGTTTGGATATATGTGAAAGTTTGAATAAAATGCGCGTATTCTAAACACCATCTGGGTGTTGTATGCTGTTTATTGGAATTCCTTATGTCACTCAAAATTTTTTAATCAGTTAGAAAAATATTTACTATGATATGATGAAGACAGGTGGATATGAAAAAATATTATTTGTTATTTCAATCGTTTTCCCACAATATATCAACAATGTTTGAACCAGCTAAAGCCGCAGTTTTCGAAGACTCAACATTCGATTCGCACGATCGAATTTCTTCAGAAAATAAATACGTATTTTAGAGAATGTTTATGTAGATTTGACGGATTGAATGAAAGGCGTCGTATTTTCAATGTTGAAAAATATAAGCGGGAATTCAAAATATTGAAAAACATAACAACGTGAGTCGATTAAAGCTGTACTAATATCAGCGCACTCTCAATAGTGTTTATTTATTTGGATGGGATTGAATGTGACAATTTTCAAAACCTTCCGTCGAGTCAGTACAGTGCGAAAATACTATGAAATGAAAATAATAATAACCAATTCAAAGGTTGAAATGATAGCAACACAACTATTCACTTTCATTGACTGGAGCTTATAAATCTGGACCAATTGTTAAGAAATTTCATATGTGAGACATATGATTCACATGACTTAACAAAAAAGTAAAAGTAGTAGGATAGTCAATTTCTGACAGTTGAAATAAGAGCAAAATTAGTTCAAGTTCATAGTGAGACTTCAGTAGTCATAAGAGTGTATGAACCTTATTATTCATACAGTATTTTTAAAAACTGTAACCCTTTTCAAACCGTTTGTGTAATTTATCACAATTTCTAATTCATCAGATTTTTTTCAGGTTCTATTAAGTAAATTTAGCGATAATCGGGCATCGCATGAATGCATTGGAGTGAAAATTAAAAAAATTGCGACCTGTCAAATAACAGAACAGGAAACGGGCCGTTCTGTGGAGGCAAGTTTACACATATCTTTATATCAGATACCAGTACTTGACCAGTTCAGAACATTTTATTTACTCGATTTTGGGAACAGGGGTTGAGTATTTTCTTAAATCCCGAGGTTTGAATTAGGTCGAGTCACTGGTTACCCGAGTGTAGGGTTTGAAGTCAAGTCAACCACTGAGTTAAGTCTCACTAGCGATTAGTTGATCACGAGTCCGAGTCCTTCGTTTCATTTCGATGATTCGTGTCATTCTGAGTATTTGAGAAATGGTCACTCGATCCGGTTTCGAGTTGAGTCAATCGGTCAACGCGATCTTTCCTGACACCGGAGTCAGAATTTCCCAAAATCCGAATTCGTAAGTATGAGTCAAAATGTTTTCCAGTCTGAATTAGGAATCGATTGTAAATGTTTTCAGACTCCACAGGCTGTATCTTAGACGTTGATAAAACGAAATATTGTCGTCTAGTCTCTAGTGAATAAGCTTGAGGACTCAAACGCATTTCAAGGTTTGGTCCGAAGATTTGCCATTAACTAGCAACAATGTAATCTTTTAGATAAATGAGCATAACCATGGTTAGCTATTCCTTGCTTATATGCATGCTTTGCATGACTTCAACACAAGCTCAAAAGGATATACTTTCTCCTCCTTACACTTGCACTACAACAACAACACTATGTCAACCTGGAGAAACCACAGAACATGCTACGTCGACACTTCGAACATCTACATCTCAGGGAAGACCAGGAAAACGAGGAATGAATGGATTGCCTGGAATAAAAGGAGAAAAGGGAGAATCTTGTCAGTGTGACATTGTTGATGAAGAGGCAATGAGGGACATGAGAAGGAAAATGGATAAAATTGAAACAGAAAATCGAGAAATGAAACAACAAATTCAGGATCTCGAAACAACAAATATTCAGATGAATCGAACTATCAGAAATTTGGAAGGTAAGTATTTACAAAGATCTAAATTAATCAGATAAACTCCCGCAATGACCAAACTTAGTCGAAATATCTATATGCATGGAATCTACTCTGAACTGGTAATTTATAGCTGAAACAAAATACTCTTCTACACTATTAATCGATAATGTTTCTCTGTCGAGTTTAGTATAAGCGCCAAGATGTTCGATCACTATATCCGAAAGTCAAATTAAAACTGGCCTAACACGTTAATAAATATTAACTAGATTAAGTATTTTTTTTTTCATTCTTTTGTCGATATTGAAAATTTGCTTGGGGATATTTACATTATTTGTACTTTTGTTATTTGTACTTCAAAACATTTTTAGTTGGAAAGGTTGATTTCCTTTTTCCATCAAGTTGTGACCAAAATGGGACGGATGAAAAAATATATCCATGGAGAAACGAAGGAAACTTCAGACCTGCTACAGTAAATTGCGAACTATATTCAGTGAATGAAGATGGATGGATTGTAAGATTTTTTTAGTTTTTACTTTCTTCGTTGATTTATTGCATTATTCTAATCTTGCTAGAATGACGCATGGTCAATTAATTTCGATATCGACCAAATCATCAAATATCAAAAGTGCTCTTTGTCTAATGTCTTGCTCTAATGTCTAAACCAAGCTCTAAATACACGACTAGTTGTCTTTGTAGCGGCTTATTGTGCCCGTCTCCCTGGGTTTATAGAAGCTAGTAATAGAGCGTGATTTATAGCAATATATAGCACAACTTGGCATAAAACTTAAAAACCGGTAAAATTAGACAACTTTTAGAATGCAAAGAAAATACAAAGTTCGGAATGCCCTTATAATTTTAATGAATTTTGTGTAGTTTAATTTTATTTTACAAATTATATAAGTAATACAATTATATCTTCCAGACAATTCAGAGACGGCAAGATGGATCAATCAGGTTCCATGACAGAAACTGGGAAAGTTATGCCAGAGGTTTTGGAGATAAAAATGGAGAATTTTGGCTTGGTACGTGTGACGGCCTATTTAGGTCGGGGAATTACAAAGAAATTACTTTGATTCACCGGTCAACCACTGCCAGTGTCAAACGTGCAGTATGAAACAATGTTGCCTTGCTTTATTTATGATATAATGGTAAATTAGGCTCGTTTCGTTGCAATTCTCAAGCATGTTTGTCTAAAAGTGGCTTGGTATTACTCGAAATTGTCCACGGTTACTAATTACTCTGCTTGATTAATTGTTTTACACAAATCTGCAAACAGTACAAAAAAGTATTTAAATAAACAGATTCAAAAAACAAATATAGCTCACAGTCATTCAAATACGATCAATAGGTTAACGATTCCTAGCTTTGTGGCCATTATCTCATTACTCATTAATTTGCATCTTAAGTTGTTCCAAACTTAAGCCTATAACGTAAAATCAATTATAATCCAAATCAATTTGTCTTTAAGTTTGCATATAGGGTACATCTAGGGAAATTCAATATACCTGTAAGGTTGATAAACCAAATATGAGATTCCTCATCATTGTGACGTTGATGTTTTCAAACCAAGCTCAGCCACCTCGGCCTATCAAGCACCTAGCTTACCCTATTCATTTCAGAATGAGGTTCAGTGAATAGACCTATAGATGTTATCTTAATAATAGTTTAATGTGCTTATTACTGTATAACACTGCTCGTCAACCGGGTGTATAGTACACCCCAGGGGGTACCTAAAGGTTTGAAGGGTGTACCACGTCGATAGGGTGTACCAGGGATGTGCCGTGTCAAATTTTGTAAGGTACCCACTATCACACGATATGCTTCTAACCCAAGAAAAACTTTGGATGGCTGCTAGTTGTCAAGATATTTTTTGACTTGCAAAATTGTCTTATCTAACGGCAATATTTAAAATCACAAACCAGTTAAAATTATCGAGGGGAGAAGTGATATTTTTGAAGCTAGTAGCAAGATTGAGTCTTTTAAAATGAAATTGAAGGTTTGGCAGAATAATGTATCAAATTGTGATTTTTCCGATTTAGAATGTCTAGAATATTTCATTGAGACTCGTTGATGGGAAAATGGAAACGCAGACGTGAAAACCAAGATGTTTCCCCGAAAATAAGACCTAGCCTGGATTTTTAAAATGATTCTTATATAAGCCCTTCCCCTAAAATAAGTCCTAGTCGATAGCGCGAATTTTATTTTGACCTATTCGATAGCAAGACACCTACACGTTTCAAATGCATGACTAATAATCTATATTTAGCAGTTCCAATTACTTCAAATAAAGACGTGATATTTATGAGTAAGCTTATTTGAAAATCTCGTAATTCTCTACTTTGTAATTTTGTTTTTAATAAATCAAAATAAAAGACATCCCCCCAAAATAAGTCCTAGTGATAATTTTAGGGAGAAAATTGAAATAAGACCGTCTTATTCTCGGGGAAACACGGTAAGCATTTTGATGTGCTACTGCAAAACTTCGGAGCCTATATTCCGGATGTTGAATATCGGAATCTTGGTTCTCTAATATGAGTCGTTCAGTCATTCACAAGTGAAAAAGTTGCTCTTGAACACATAACTGATGAACTGCGTGAATTACATTCAAATCTTGTACAAAGGGCAGAGTTCAAAACATATAAAAAATGCAACTAATTTTAGGCAGCAATATTAGAATTTACCGAGTATCGCAATCTTTCACAAAAGGCTGTGACCATTCTCTTACGAATAGCCTTTATACGACATACCTTTCCGAACAAGGGTTGTCTGCATTCATTGAAATGAAATCCAAAAAAATAACAAATGGCCGATGGAATCCAAGAGCAACGGTCACATTAACTAAATAATAAACTATTGCGTCAACGTAATCATATATATATATATATATATATATATATCTTCTAAATATTAAGTATTTTACGTATCAAAAATGTAGGACGGGTGGTGTGTACCAGATTTTGAGAATTGGTTGAAAGAGTGTACCATTACAAAAAAGGTTGACGAGCACTGCTCTATAACCCAATCCTTATTATCTAATATATTTATGCTCACTGGAATAGTGAAATACCATGAATTTGACAAATTTTTCATGTTTTTCAGGTCTTCGAACAATTCATCAACTGACAACATCGAGAAATTATAAACTTCGTATTGATATGAGACAAAAATCTGGTACAGCATATTACGCAGAATACAGGTAAAGGCACCATATATTTATAGCGTTAACGGCACTAAAGTTTTTTTATCCAACTTTCTTCACTGTCTCTCTACAATCGTATTCGTTCTCACAAAAACATCGGTCACAATAGTATCAAGCAAAGTTTTCGGACTTATTTCGCGGCCACTAATTCCTGGGAATTCTTTCAAAATTATGTTGAACTCCTTGTGGATTGTTTACCCCAATATCACGTTGTCGTTGTGTTGTTGTCTGCTAGCGAGTAATGAAAAAAATCGATTTGATGGAGGGAGACAGTAGAAGGCTATTGCGTTTATTTTTTTTTGAACTTCCTCTGAGTCATATTAAACCCGATATTTCATTAAAAACATTTCTGTTACATTTTAGTTGTAGTAAAACATTATGTACGAATTGCTTGTTCGCGGATCTTTACAGCAAACTCAGTGCTATCCGATGGGCTTTCAATATATTTGAGCGTTGCTCTCTTGTTTGTGTTATAGAGTTTAAATATTAAATTGTAATCTAATCTTATTTTTATCATGTTTGAACTATATTTTTATTCCAGCACATTCAAAGTAGGAAGTGAAAAGTCAAAATTTCAGCTGACAATCTCTGGATATTCTGGTAATGCTCAAGACACTATGTCGTATCATAATCATCGATATTTTTCCACTTATGATGTAGACAATGACTCACGAGGAAATGAAAATTGTGCTCGCAGAAGCGATGGTGCCTGGTGGTATGGGAATTGCGAGCATTCCAACCTGAATGGAAAATATGACAGTCACTTTCACTGGGGACATCTTCTCTCGTTCAGTGAAATGAAGATTCTCCCGGTGTAAATAATCATCACAGGTGTTCAAGCAACTTCAACGTAGAGATTCTTAAATTCGAAAATAACTTGTGATTTACTATGTTTTAGACTGAAAATTCAAAACACGAGTAGAAAATCTGCGATGTAATCCTGAACGTGTTTTCATGATTGTATTAACCTATTCCTAACTTTTAGTTTTATAGCAACACGCATTGAATTGTACGAATTTGGAAAGTCGTAATTTATATTTGATCAAATAATACCAATTGCTCAATGCTACTACTGTAGTAATTTTTATTTACCTCATCATTTAAAACATACCGTGTAGAATTTCAATAGAATTAACATAGATTTTAAAGCAAAATTAGAAATTTCAATGTAGATATGTTTGAAGTATGGAGCATTGAAAAAATATTAAATTCACCAGTTAATTAGATAATATGATTAATAGATCTCAGTAATATAAATGTGAAAAAGAGGAATCCCTAAACACATGAAGACGTAGGTCGTGCATCTGTTCTGGTACGATAATGTCTGAGAGCACAAAATTTGCCAAAAAGATTGGTAAACCAGCGGGAGAAAAATTGCTTCCTCTGATTGAAATATATTGAAATATCGGGCTCCATAGGACTCGGAGAAATACGAAAAAAAATGTAATAGTCTTCTAGCAACTGTTCGCATGTGGAATCGATATTTGGATTCGATTTACTTATAGATTAAAGTGATTTTTCGGATCTTTTGTGCACAGCCCCATCCACCAATGCAAAATGTGAGATTTGAGATAAACACCCCTTCCACGTTTCAAAATAACAAATTAGTAATCGTCCAGTTGCGATTAGGAATGATTAGAAATTTACGATGCATTGCCCCCATCTTGTGCCAGCTTTGTTGGCATTGCACGTGGTACATCTTAGGTTCAAATCCTGTCATGTGTTGTGACTTTGTGTAACGTGTCGAGTATACGACGTTCTGATTGGCTGCTTTGTAAGTCCAGGTGTGTGTGACGTATTCATGTTTAGGCTAATCACACCATTAAACGATAGACATATAAAAGCTGTTGAACTGTTACCTTTCAACTGTTTTAAACTGATTGTATCTTAATTTAAACAAATAATACAAACGTATTATCACAAATCCCATGCCAGCCATATCACCCAGGGTGTAATAAGTTGGGTGGGCGGTGCCGAGCCGTGAAGATTGCTTTTTTTTTCGTAAAAGGGAACGAAGGGCGCACGAGTAAGCGTCCTATAAAAAAATCGCGTTCATTCATGAGATCTAAGTTAGTATGATGCATCTTAGAAGTACTCTGTATACTTCAAACACTTCTAAAGTCATTTTTACCAGTCAATTAAGATTCTAACCCGAGTTGAATTACTATAACCTTAGAATGCTTAACCCCGTCTTCAGGAAACATTGATAAAATGAATGAACCAAGTGAAGTTTTTGTTAACATTCATGAAAATGAACAAGTTATCAATATATTGTATTCAGTATTTGAGTGTATTAAAACTAAGTAGTGTAAATCGGCTTTCATTTCGGATTTAAACGGAGATTAAACTTCATCAAACTTGAACTGTCAAGAGCAATGGTTCACAAGCTTTTTTAAAAAAAAATTCGCCCCCCTGTGGGCGTTTACGAAAACTGTGGGGGCGCTGACTGCGAATTGGGCAAATTGGGGTCGCTGGCAACAAATCAGGCAGCTGCGAGAAATGTAATAATATTATAATATTACATTTAAATATTATGACTTTTTTTAATATATTGTAATGTTTTGTAATAATTCAAGTCTACCGCACGACTTATTGACGCTTCGCTCACCAGAGCCCTTCTATGTGGTCTGACATGGTTCGTTTTTCGAAACGAAAAATTTAGACAACATAGGGGTTACGTGTAATATGGACTTATTTCAGTCCAAAATTCTGATTTGCACCCGATGATTTTGTCGTGTACGAAAATGTTTTCTAATGAAGCGAGAATATTTGATTTGGAGCCAGACTTCAAATCATCCGAATAAATCAGGCGAATGTGTTACATTTTTCCAATTAAAAAATGGTAATAAAAGGTGGCAGTGGTCTGTATACTGAACAATGGCTTACTTAAACAATTATGCCTTTTACCAGGGCGAGTTTTAAGATTTTTCCCATTCATTGTTTGAACCAATTGTATTTTTAATTTAGTGAGAAATAAACTACTGGCTGACTGATATGACGGTACTTTTGTTTTTGTTGCTAAATTACAGCAAACTTGCGATCCGGGCCTTGAGAAATATGTCATATTAGAAAAAATGACATCGCTTACGTAACAGATATATTCTATAAACTTGATGAACTGAATGTTCTCCTAATGGAGGCGAAGGAGAATTTTCCAATTCTTAAGCTTGCAATAACTTGCTACCGGTGGCAGAAACATATAATATGTCTTGTTTATGTAGACGCGTAAAGCGAGCTTAATCAAGAATTACACACTAACATGGAAATCCGTTTATACGACGTATTTCAATCGGAGGTTCCGTAGAAGTAAATTGACACATTCAGCAATATTTCCAATACTACTTGAGTGCCATAACCTCAGTCTATGTGGCAAGAGAAACCGCATTTGGCATAGTTAAGAAACATAGGAAGGACTGCTTCTGACTAAAATGAAGCTTGATATTGATAATCTAGCGCTTTTTCGGGAAGAATTTATCCGGTCTGAGTGACACTAAAGTACAATATTCTACTCTGCGTAGAAAATGAGATAAGGGAAGTGCGGTCTGAAAGAGTAGTTTAATTTTAATAATAATTCACGAGTACAGCTTCATACGAAATTCGGTGAAATTCTTTGACCTGGGGCCTGGGGTCTCGTGTAGTTTCTTACCTCAATATCTTCTAGTAGGCGTCGCTTAACAATTTTTGCATATATCATCCCTGACCCTCAACCACCATTCAATAAATTACGTCATTGCGAGGTCACAATCACGAATTAGGTTTGGCAGAATAATGTATCAAATTGTGATTTTTCCGATTTAGAATGTCTAGAATATTTCATTGAGACTCGTTGATGGGAAAATGGAAACGCAGACGTGAAAACCAAGATGTTTCCCCGAAAATAAGACCTAGCCTGGATTTTTAAAATGATTCTTATATAAGCCCTTCCCTTAAAATAAGTCCTAGTCGATAGCGCGAATTTTATTTTGACCTATTCGATAGCAAGACACCTACACGTTTCAAGTGCATGACTAATAATCTATATTTAGCAGTTCCAATTACTTTAAATAAAGACGTGATATTTATGAGTAAGCTTATTTGAAAATCTCGTAATTCTCTACTTTGTAATTTTGTTTTTAATAAATCAAAATAAAAGACATCCCCCCAAAATAAGTCCTAGTGATAATTTTAGAGAGAAAATTGAAATAAGACCGTCTTATTCTCGGGGAAACACGGTAAGCATTTTGATGTGCTACTGCTAAACTTCGGAGCCTATATTCCGGATGTTGAATATCGGAATCTTGGTTCTCTAATATGAGTCGTTCAGTCATTCACAAGTGAAAAAGTTGCTCTTGAACACATAACTGATGAACTGCGTGAATTACATTCAAATCTTGTACAAAGGGCAGAGTTCAAAACATATAAAAATGCAACTAATTTTAGGCAGCAGTATTAGAATTTACCGAGTATCGCAATCTTTCACAAAAGGCTGTGACCATTCTCTTACGAATAGCCTTTATACGACATACCTTTCCGAACAAGGGTTGTCTGCATTCATTGAAATGAAATCCAAAAAAATAACAAATGGCGGATGGAATCCAAGAGCAACGGTCACATTAACTAAATAATAAACTATTGCGTCAACGTAATCATATATATATATATATATAACTTCTAAATATTAAGTATTTTACGTATCAAAAATGTAGGACGGGTGGTGTGTACCAGATTTTGAGAATTGGTTGAAAGAGTGTACCATCACAAAAAAGGTTGACGAGCACTGCTCTATAACCCAATCCATATTATCTAATATATTTATGCTCACTGGAATAGTGAAATACCATGAATTTGACAAATTTTTCATGTTTTTCAGGTCTTCGAACAATTCATCAACTGACAACATCGAGAAATTATAAACTTCGTATTGATATGAGACAAAAATCTGGTACAGCATATTACGCAGAATACAGGTAAAGGCACCATATATTTATAGCGTTAACGGCACTAAAGTTTTTTTATCCAACTTTCTTCACTGTCTCTCTACAATCGTATTCGTTCTCACAAAAACATCGGTCACAATAGTATCAAGCAAAGTTTTCGGACTTATTTCGCGGCCACTAATTCCTGGGAATTCTTTCAAAATTATAGTTGGACTCCTTGTGGATTGTTTACCCCAATATTACTTGTCGTTGTGTTGTTGTCTGCTAGCGAGTAATGAAAAAAAATCGATTTTTGATTACTTGATGATGGAGGGAGACAGTAGAAGGCTATTGCGTTTATTTTTTATTTTTGAACTTCCTCTGAGTCATATTAAACCCGATATTTCATTTAAAACATTTCTGTTACATTTTAGTTGTAGTAAAACATTATGTACGAATTGCTTGTTCGCGGATCTTTACAGCAAACTCAGTGCTATCCGACGGGCTTTCAATATATCTGAGCGTTGCTCTCTTGTTCGTGTCATAGAGTTTAAGTATTAAATTGTAATCTAATCTTATTTTTATCATGTTTCTATATCAACTATATTTCTATTTCAGCACATTCAAAGTAGGAAGTGAAAATTCAAAATTTCAGCTGACAATCTCGGGATATTCTGGTGATGCTCGAGACAAGATGTTGTATCATAATCATCGATATTTTTCCACTTATGATGTAGACAATGACGCACGAGGAAATGAAAATTGTGCTCGCAGTCGCGATGGTGCCTGGTGGTATGGGAGTTGCGAGCTTTCCAACCTGAATGGAAAATATGACAGTTACTTTCACTGGGGACTTTATCTCTCGTTCAGTGAAATGAAGATTCTCCCGGTGTAAATAATCATCACAGGTGTTCAAGCAACTTCAACGTAGAGATTCTTAAATTCGAAAATAACTTTGTGATTTACTATGTTTTAGACTGAAAATTCAAAACACGAGTAGAAAATCTGCGATGTAATCCTGAACGTGGTTTCATGATTGTATTAACCTATTCCTAACTTTTAGTTTTATAGCAACACGCATTGAATTGTACGAATTTGGAAAGTCGTAATTTATATTTGATCAAATAATACCAATTGCTCAATGCTACTACTGTAGTAATTTTTATTTACTTTATCATTTAAAACGTACCGTGTAGAATTTCAATAGAATTAACATAGATTTTAAAGAAAAATTAGAAATTTCAATGTAGATATGTTTGAAGTATGGAGCATTGAAAAAATATTAAATTCACCAGTTAATTAGATAATATGATTAATAGATCTCAGTAATATAAATGTGAAAAAGAGGAATCCCTAAACACATGAAGACGAAGGTCGTGCATCTGTTCTGGTACGATAATGTCCGAGAGCACAAAATTTGCCAAAAAGATTGGTAAACCAGCGGGAGAAAAATTGCTTCCTCTGATTGAAATATATTGAAATATCGGGCTCCATAGGACTCGGAGAAATACGAAAAAAAAATGTAATAGTCTTCTAGCAACTGTTCGCATGTGGAATCGATATTTGGATTCGATTTACTTATAGATTAAAGTGATTTTTCGGATCTTTTGTGCACAGCCCCATCCACCAATGCAAAATGTGAGATTTGAGATAAACACCCCTTCCACGTTTCAAAATAACAAATTAGTAATCGTCCAGTTGCGATTAGGAATGATTAGAAATTTACGATGCATTGCCCCCATCTTGTGCCAGCTTTGTTGGCATTGCACGTGGTACATCTTAGGTTCAAATCCTGTCATGTGTTGTGACTTTGTGTAACGTGTTTGAGTATACGACGTTCTGATTGGCTGCTTTGTAAGTCCAGGTGTGTGTGACGTATTCATGTTTAGGCCAATCACACCATTAAACGATAGACATATAAAAGCTGT